CAGGTGTGAGAGATGTTGAGAAAATGGAAACAACATTTTGCAATGCCTTGGGTATTTGAGGTTGAATGAAAATGAGGAGTTCAGATGACACCAAGGTGAAGCTGATAAACCAAGTGACTGGAAGGTTGGTGGTGCCCTTGACAAAAATAGGAAAGTTCTGAAGAAGGGTTGATTTGGGAGGAAACATAATGAGATTTTTGTTGAAACTCTCATGCTTTCCATTCCTACTTATCTTATGTAACTCACTGTGCCCCACCCAAAACAAAAAGGAGGGAATGGAGTTCTTACTCTTATTGCCCTGGAACACAGAGCCCATCTTTATTGGGTACCTGCTATTACCATGAGGTTATTTAGGGAGGCTAGGCTGGGCCTTAATGGATTGAAGGAATTTTCCCAGTGGTACCTATGCAGTGGCTGAAGTGGAGTGCCAGAGTCAGGGTTAGGTCATAACTGCCCTCAGTGGCTGCTGGATGAGGTGGAGTGAGGGAGGCCTGGGTATAATAGTTGAAGGGTAGGTGTGGATAAATTGGTGAAAAACCTCAGAGGAGAATTGGATGGCAATCCCTTGAGACACCTTTCAAGTGATTGATCATGTGTGTCCTATGCCATGGCCCCTTGGGATTGTATGATAGTCATGGCCTTCATTTTGGAGATCATTGGTCTAGGCTCCATTAAGACAGTATTTAATATGATATGGCTCAGTTTCTAAGAGTGCTTCTGAATGTATCAGAACTATCAGTTTGTTGAATCAATCAACATGAGTGACTTTTCCTTGAATTTTCTTGGGATTTAGAGCTAAATCACAGAGATCATTTAATCTACCCTCTTTATTTTGCAAAAGAGGAACCTAAGACCTCTTCTATGAGGTTAAGTGACTTGCCTAAGGTATCACATTTAGTCACATTAGCAGCAGAGGTAGGATTTGAGAGGTCTTCTGACTCTAAATCTAGCTCTTCTTCTATCTTATACTTGGGGTTAGAAGGTTTTTTCTTGGGGTTTAGAAGGTTTTTTTAAGTAAGAAATATATCTTTTTAGATTTCAGCATCTCAGATAATAATGTACATATCTACTATGTGTAAAGCACAGGATTTAAATATCAGCCATAAGAACAAAGGTCAACATCAATTTTTTTAAAAATCTCATTCCATCTTTTGGTTTGTATGGTAAGAAAGAAGTGCGTTCTGCCAAGAGAAATATAACCACAAGTTTATCACATATATTATGCTTACCATTGGGAAGAAAATGCTAGGAACTGGAGGATTTGGGGCATAACTTTCCCCAGAAAATTCCCATTCCAAAGGAATCTGTGAGTCTTAAACCATATCGACAGAAATATAAACAAACTTAGAGATCTTGTAATCTACCACCCCTCATTTCACAGAAAAGAAGACTAAGAAGGCCCAGAAAAGTAAGGTAACTTAACCAAGGCCACACAGCTGATAATGGCAAATCCAGGATCAGTGTGTTCAGGAGAAAAACCAGATATGGTACAGCAGCTGAGGGTTTGATCCACAATTTCTTTTTATGGTGGTGTTTGGGTGTCCATGGGGTTGTTTTTAGTTTTTTTGAGTATTTGTGAGTGTTTTTGATATTCTAGGTCCTGCTTTAGTTCATGTGTACATCAAAAAGGGAACAAAGGATCTGAGTGGTGCACAAGGTTTTTCTCTGTTAATTTATGTATTCTGACCACTGCATTTTCTCCCCACATAAGGCTTGAATGCTGTGACTTTCCCCTATATGTTTAGTTTTCAAAGAACAATACAGAAGACAACAAAATGGACCTCTTCAAAAGATCTCTATTTTCACCACTGTGATTTCACTCCTTACACTGACACATATTGTTTCTCCATATAAGCTCCTTAAGGAGAGGAACTGTTTTGTTTTTTCTTTGTATACCCAGCACGTAGCATAGAACTGGGAACATACTAGGTACTTAGTAAATGCTTATTGAGTGAACGAATGAAACTTTAGATCCAACTCTTTCTGCTATGTAAAATACAGTTTCATCTATATTTGGAAAAGTCAATTTATAAACCTAAAGTGAATGGAAGATTAAAATACTTTCCCAATTCAGTTGGAAATACATTTATTTCAAAACCAGAAATGAGTTAGGAATGGAAAATGTGAAATTAGAAACCAGTGATAATCTTGTTAGATGGGTGGCATGATACAGTACTAGTGGAGATCTTTGGTTATCCATGCATTTGTTGAAGTATTCCCTGCCAGAACATTGCCCCTAATAATAATTTTGATGAAGATGATGATGATAATCATGATAATCCTTCAAAAGGTTCATGGATCAATGAGGGGACCTGTCATTTTGCACCTATTTCTCAACCACTGGAAAGTACTAGTTGATTGGGTGTAAATGATGGAAACCTTGGGGGAATGACTACTCCAGCTTAGAATTTCATGATAGCAAAAGAGAATTAAACTAGGCATAGTTTGACATGAAACCTAGATTTCAAGAGAGAATATTTCAAAGACAATAGATAAAGGAAAATAGGATCTCATTGACTAAAATTCTGTAGGAGAATTCAGCCCAGGAGAGATAAGAAGCTCTCAGGAAGCTCTGAAGAATTTTTTTTTATTCTAATGATGAAAAAAGAGGGGAGAATTGTCTAAAGAAATCAATGTATCTGCACTGGGAACTCAACAACTGACAATTAATTAGGAATATTGTGAGGGAACTGGGCAAGATCATTACTGAGGTCCCTTCCAATTCAGGGTCTGTGAATTCCATGGATCTGAATCAGACTGAAATGTCAGTGCTCTACTATATTGCTATTAAGAAGCTTAATGGCAGGGAAAAAGTATAGTAGACACAACCAAGGTTTTTTATGGGATAGTCACTTAACCTGTCTAAGCCTTGCTTTCCTCATCTGTAAAGTAGGGGTGGTGGAGAGGATTGCTAAATTAAATTATCCCTAAGATCCCTTCCAAATCTAAAATTTTATGACTTCTACAAGATAATTTCTATTAAAAATATTTAAAAAGTTGGAAAATGAAATTACACCCACTCATCTCCAGTTTTGGTACATTCCTTTGGGCACTTGAAGATTTTCATATTTTCACAAACAGGCCTCACACATGCTGCTGCTGCTGCTGCTGCTTCTTCTTCTTCTTCTTCTTCTTCTTCTTCTTTTTTTACTCTGGGAGGGAATAAGAAAACAGCATAAAGGTCACACTTGGACATTAAGGTGTTTTTTTTTTTTAAACATAAAAAGATTGCAGAGATTTCTTAGTAATTACCATGTATAATGGTATTGTGTTGAAAGTAGTAACATAGACATAATATCTTTGTATACGTTAGCATGTGTATCTATATGTCTAGTTGACACTTAACAATTCAGGCTCTTTTGTAAGTCTGTTTATAAGGCATGAAGTTGCTCATGTTTTGTTTAGCCAAAAGGACAAAATACCTCCAGCAGTATGTCTGGAATGTTATTTACTTGGTGCATTTCTGTGGTTTTCCCTTTTAACATTGCACATGTCAGAGCTAGGGGTCATTTACTTAAAAATGACCAAAGTGGTATACTCACAATGTACAGTTAAGCTTCTCAACAGAAGTGTTTTTCTCAGTAAAAAAAGGTGGGCTGTTTCTCTGCCTCTCTCTTTCATTTTCTTTTCTTTTAATTTGTTTCTGTCCTTATTACCTGCCTTGCTCTTGGCAGGATTTGGGGACGTGCTGTTTATTCTTGCTCCTTTGTCCTTTACTCTTCTCTCTGTGCTTTCAGTCATTTCTGGTGCAATCCCCTGTGATCCTAGTTAATTGTGCTTCATTTGCATGCAGGCACTATTATTGTTTCACATCAGAGCTTACCTGTTTTGGCACACCCAACTGTATTTTCCATTGAGCTCTCTGATCTGAATGGTTGGACAAGTTGCAAAGGAAATAGAGGTGGAGTTTTCCTTAATTATAAGCAAAGGAGTGAGGGAGAAACTGCCAAACAGTGTTGACTTGGGCAGGGTCTACGTGATAGGAAACATATGTCCTCTGAAGGAAATAACCAGTGCACACAGATGTGGGCTTAATTTCTTAACAGGGGAATGTATCTAACTGGTTTGTTCTGCCTATTGAGGGGAGATAGTTTAGATCACATGCCTCCTAGGAGATTGTAAAAGAGTCATGTATAAATGAGAATAAAGTTAACCTATTGAAAACAAAAGCATTGAATCATCTCTCTTCATTTTCTTTTTTACCCACCCCACCTCTTTGCCCCTAAATAGGATATTCAAAATATTATAGATAAGAGTTTTAACTTATAAAGGTTATAACAAATCTAGATGTTTGGTCCAGATGTTGTTGCCTCTCTTCCACACTTGTATGGGTTGACACACAGCCTTGCCTGTCTTATCCTTCTTGTATGATGTGGACAAACATACACAGATGGAAGAAATGTTCTTGACCAAATGATACAGTACACTTGGACAAACTCTCTTTATATAGAGCTGGTCTTCATGTGTGCTTCATATTCTGGAGCACCTGTTAGTTTGTCAAGTTGATAACCATCCCTAGTGTAAAATGGAAACTTCCTTTTCTATTTTTTCTTATTTTTCCTTTTATTCTATAAGACTTCTCTATTTAAAAAAAAAAAACCAAAACTTGATTTTTTTTTTGGCTTCAGGATCTTTGATCATCCATTTGATAGTCACATTCACACCTGCCTTTCTTTTTACTGTCCAGATTTCATAGATGCAGAACTATATCAGCCTTGTAATTTTTAAAATGTAAAACTTTGGTTTAAGTTACTTATTATAGGTAATAGTTGTTTGATGACTGAAACACTGCTTGGCAGAAGTATTAGCCTGAATCACTGCCAAAGAGCAAACTGCAGCCTTATTTCTAAAAAACATCTGAGCTACAAACTGTTTGTCATGATCTAACATGCATGTAGTAATAATAGGTTGACAAGGTAATAAAGCACACATATTTAATATAGCCATGAGTTGCAGGTTCTAACAGGACTGTAATGTGTTTTGTCCTTCATTATACACAGCCCACACATCATCTTCCTGTCGCAGAGTGTCTTACCTGGAGGGAGCCATCTCTGTGGAACACGCCTTTGCCACGAAATTGCTCATGCCTGGTTTGGTTTAGCCATCGGAGCTCAAGATTGGACTGAAGAATGGTTAAGTGAAGGGTTTGCCACTCATCTAGAAGATGTATTTTGGACCGAAGCCCAAAAGGTGTGTATGTGTGATATCCATCTCAGAAGAAAGTAGCTTTGTGGCCAACCTTGTTGTCCATATGTTCAGCACTTTGTCTACCACTGCACATGGCACATCATAGCCCAATAAAATGCTGCTTGAGCATGGTGATAACAGCATTGGTGATCTTCTGTGATGGGACAGTTAGTAAAAATTTCCCTTAAAAAAAGTTCTGCCCCAAAGAATACTCTCCTAAGTACCTTTCCCATTTTTAAAAGTAAAAATACTTATTGGTTACAGCATTGTTTGTTTTTAATGATGCTCTGGCTACTTACTAATTATTACATGTCCATATAGAGCAAGGGGTTATGTATGTGACAGAGAGACCCTGTGTGCAAAGGGCAATCCTGACCTGTGTCAGGAGGTTGGAAGGTTGAAGAAATGACCTAGAGAAGAAAGAAACCACTGACACTTGGAGCTAAGAAACTGAAATGAGGCTTTTATTAAAGATTAGGGAACTGAATATCCTGAAGAAGAATCAGCTGTTTATACTTTAAGGCATGATGATGTGGCTCCTCAGTTACTCTCAGGTGGGAGATAATCCAGCAAGAGACAGAAGATGGAGAAATAATCTATTAAGGCTTAGAGGAAGAAGTTGCAGGTAGAAGTGGTGCCCCTTGTTGAAGGAGTACCAGCCTGGTCTAGTGACCAGACACTGAAGATAGTGTGAAACAGACCTGGGTGCACGTCCCACTTACAACCCTTACTCCTTGGATACTCCATGGGTAAGTTACTTAATATCTTTAAGTCTCACTTTTCTGAGACTTGGGACAAGGCATGGGAATAACAATACATATAGTATCTGCCTCACAGGGTTGTTGTAAGCTTCAAATGAGATAATGTATATAAAAGCAAACTTGAAAGTGTATTATAAACATCAGCTGTTATTATTACTTGTCAACTTAATAACAATAGAGAGATATGCTGTATCAAAGACATGACTGACAACTTCTCAATACTTGTCAAACCAGGTGACTACTAACTATTTCTGGTGATTTTTGTGGGTAAAAAATGAAATTTTCTGGAGAAACCTAAAAAGAATCACTAAATATTATGATATCTTGGTTAATAAACTCAAGATATTAGGAGGTACAAGTGGTGTTTTCATCTCCACTGTCAGTCAAAGGTAAAGATTTTTGAAGAGAAAGGCAGATGTGGAAAGGGAAGAAATGGTTAAGAAAATGCCATTTGAGAATGAGATTTGGGTTTCTAGACCAGAGCTTAAGCTGTAGGAATTAAACTGCAGGCCCCTAGGTAGAGATAGAGTGTGCTTAACAAGAGCTGGTTCAGATGAATTTGCCTGGAGTCTTGCAAATCTGATCAAATGGACTTTTAAACTGAAATGGACTGGGATGGGGTGGGGGAAGGAGGGTGTAGGAGAGAAGGGACCTATTTATACATATTTACCAAGCTAGATATCAAAGAAAGCAACTAGCTACAACACAGGAGAATAATAGCAGCTGAGATGTCTAAAAGTTTACAGAAAACAATATCTAAAAAAGGAACCATAGCAATAATATACTCACAGCTGGAGGAGATGGGATTGAATAGGATTGCTTGTACAAGTAGAAGGCTTTGCTTTGGTTAGGAGTAAGGCCACCTCTTCATGTGAAAAGGATGAAGGAGGAGATAATAGCAGAAGGCATTTGAGGTTAGGAGATTGCTAGGAGATGAGGAAGAGGAGACAAGAAGTTCATTACATACAGCCTCAGTTTTTTCTGTAAAATATGAGGCAAGGTTCTCTATCATGGGCATCTGAGAATTTGTGATAAAGAAGAGAAAACTGGTCATGATGTGACTTTCACCATAGATATTGGGAGAGCAGATTTCAAACAGTTCAAATAGAAAACAAGATACTTTAGATCTAATGAATTAAAATTCTGCAGGTAAAATCAACCAAAGAGAGATAAGAAGGTTTCAGAAATGAATTTCTGAAGATACTTCATGGAACAGTGCTAATGAGGGAAAAAAAATGATGTGTATGTGGGGGGCGGGGAAGATGTCTAAAGAGACTGATATGGATGTGCAGGGAACTCATCAACTAACTTAAATTTTTAAAAATTATGTTCAGAAATTTGAATCAAGCATGGAATGGAGGATGAATTCAAAAGGATGATGTGGTTATGTAAAAACAGTGTCAGAAGCATTAAAGCTCAGAATGAGCTGAGGCTGGTAAAGAAAGCTAAGGTTAACAAAAATGAGTTTATCTTTTTCTAAAGCTGCATTAGGAAAAGAAGGACAGGAAGACAATAACTGTGGAGGGGATGTAGAACTGTTCAATTCTCATTTTATTTCTTTTTTCTTTGCCAAGGATAATTGTCTTTGGACTAGAAAGAACAGAATAAAAATAACTAATAGAGAGAGCAAACACCTTACCTCCCTCATTTAATGAGTGTAAGTCACTTGGCCAAGACTGGCTACATCATAGGGTATTGGAAGAACCAGTGTCTGTGATTATTGAGTCACAATCATTGATCTTTGAAAGATCAACGGGAAAAGGTATGTGTCGCAGAATTGGAAAGGTGCAGATACTGTCCAAATTTTCATAAAGGGGAAAAAATGGATTCTGCAAAATACAGGCCAGGGGGCTTCAATTCCTGGTAGAATTCCAAAATCTTTTATTAAGGGGATGCTTCATGGACATTTGGAAAATTACGTAGTAGTCACACATAGTAAGACTAGCTAGGCCCCAATTAGTATGAGTAATGAATCCTTTAAGGAGGTAGCATGTATTTGAATTCGTGCTATTTGAAGTTATAATTCTGTAAAATATGGTCATTGGTTCCAGCCCCATGGGAATATGCAAGGCAAATGCAAATAATGCAGCCACTCAGGGGATTTGTTACTTGCACTAATCAGGCCCTAGCTGTACGTTAAAAGATAATTTCTTTTTTGACAGGATTACTAGACTAGTAGATGAAGAGCATGCTACAGACATAGCTTAATTCAGTTTTAGCAAGGAATTTGGCAAAGTCTCTCAAGCTTGTGGGAAAATGGAGCACTGTGAGCTGAATAGCAATACAATTAGGTGGGATTAAGAACTGGTTGAATGACTATTAGTCATTAATGTTTGGATGTGATCTTGGAAGGAGGTCTCCAGGGGTATTCCTCAGAGATCTATGCTTGGCCCTGTGCTATTGAAGGAATGTTTTCTGAATGTTTATAAATTATTTGAATGAAGATATAAGTGATATGCTTATCAAATTTGCAGGTGACACAAAGTAGAAAGGGATGGCTAACATGTTGGATGACAGTCAGGATTCTGAATGATCCTATCAGGCTAGAACATTTGGCCAGACCTGTGAAGATGAGAATAAATGTAATGTTTTACATATGAGGTTTTTTTGTTTTATTTTTTGTTTTTTAAATCTGGTCCCCAAGAACAAGACATGGAAGGTATGGCTAGACAACAATTCCTCTGAAAAAGATCTGGGGGCAGGAGGGGAGTATTGGACTAGAGACCCAGCATGAATCAACAGGCAGCCAAGAAAGCCAATTCTATCTTAGCCTGCCATAAATAAGAAAGTGCCTGATGGTCCTCCTGTACTCTGCCTGGTCAGATCACATCTGGAATATGTGTTAATTATTGGGCTTCAGATTTTTTTTTTGGCTAGGCAACAGGGTTAAGTGACTTGCCCAGGGTGACACAGCTAGTAAGTGTTAAGTGTCTGAGGCCAGATTTGAACTCAGGTCCTCCTGACTCCATGGCCTGTGCTCTATCCACTGTGCCACCTAGCTGCCCCTGAGCTTCAGATTTTAAGAAAAACACTGATGAAATGAATAGTAACCAGAGGAGGGCAAATGGGATGGTGAAAGACTGAAAGATGATGCTATGTTCCATTTAGATTGGAAAAGAGAAGACTTCAGAGGTAGGAGGAAATATGATATTCTTCAAGTATTCGAATGGCTATCATGGGGAAAGAAGGATTAGAGTTGTTCTTCCTGATCCCTGATGGCAGACCTGGGAGCCATAGGAGAAAACTTCTAACTGCCTTGGAAGGTAGTGATTTCTCCCTCACTGGAGATCTTTAGGTAACAGTTGGTTGTCAGCTATTCAGAAGGATTGAGGTAGGGATTCTTTTTCAGGTGTTGGTTAGATCTGATGGCTTCCAAAACCTGGGGAGGTGAACTTTTATGGGAGGTCAGGAATGCCAGCAGAGGACTCCCACTTCTAGTTTTTGGAAGTCTTCTTGGGGTTTATCAGAGAATATTTACCTGGCAAGCCATCTTGAGAATGGGAAGTACCAGCAAGGAATGTGATTTCACTGCCAGGCTTGAAAAAACTACAGGAGAAAAATGTGAAGAGACATATGGCTTGACACTAGAGAAGAGGTAAAAGGGAACCATTTACCCCAAACCAGATAGGAAAAAGGGCTGGAGACCCTGTGTGGGGGGCAAGTGAAGAACTATCTCCCAAGTGCTTAAGAGATCCTTTATGGGGCCACTTGGATTAAATTTAGAGCTACAGGAGATCATTGAGTCCAACCCCTGCGGTTTACAAATGTGGAAACTGAGGCTCCAGGAGGTAGCGACCTACTCAAGGTCAAGCAGGGAGTAAGTGGCAGAGCCAGAATTATGAACCCAGGTCTTCAGACTCTAGATCTAGCACTTTCTGCTCTACCACACCAAGGTGCTCTGTATGTTTCCTAAAAACTACCACAATCCCACTCTGAGCTCCACACAAGTGACTCTGTGGAGCAGGTGAAAGAGACAAACAACAAGTTGTGGTGAATAGTCCCTGTGGTTCACCACATAACATATAACATGATCTACTCACTGCATCACAACTGGATCTCACTTCAGATGGGATAGGACTGTCTACAACTACCTGACTCTTTGGTACCAGAACTTAAGGACAGCCTTGGCCCAAGGGGTATTTGCAAAAAATGTTCTACTCTCTCTCTCTGTGTAGTTGGCTTCTTTCTCCCTTAATCAGAACTCTTGACTAGCTTCTCCTCTGACCCAGAATGAGATGAGTAGATTTCCAACGTCAGTGTTTATTTCCTGTAAAATAGGATGAAAACTTCTGACATAAAAAAAAATGACCCTTCTATATTGTTTGAATCTTATTGTTTGAATCTTTATGCCCCTCTGGGAGAAAACTGTAACTCCATTGAGACGACCTTCCAGTCAAAAGATGGTGGCACTGCCTAACTAACTAATCTCTTGCCTATTGATGTGAGTCAATCAACAGGCATTTATTAAGCACTTACTATGTACCAGATACCTGTTCTAGGTGCTGGGGATGCAAATGCAATACAATAAACTAAATAATCCCTACTCAAAGGGAACTTAATCACCTATATTGGTTCTTACTGACAGACAACTGAATGCAGTTTTGAAACTTCTTTTAAGAGGGGCATGGATTCATGCCCCTCTTAGGAGGGGAAATGTGTTCTCCATTTCTCTCTCTCTCTCTCTCCCTCTCCCTCCCTCCCTCCCTCTCCTTCTTATTCCTTATTAATTTCTTTTAATTCTACTACCCTTTTACCATCTTCTCTCAGTCCTATACTTGAATAAAAGTGCCAGATTTGGCAGAAGCAGGGTAGAGATCAGATAACATTATGTCAAAGCTAATGGATAACAAATGCCCATTCTTGGGGGTAGGAGCTTTTATTTCCATAGATTTACAAAACAATACAAAAATATTTGCCTCTAAATGTTAGGAATTTTTCCTTACCAATAGACAATTCTGTTATCATCCATTAGCAAGATTTTAAGTGTGTGGCATAGTGCATCATAGTGACTGCTGCCGAGGTTGAAGTAGTGGAGCAGGGTGAGAGAGCAGCCAGTCTTTTCCCATAATGAATTCAGGCAGTAAAAGTTCTCTGGTTTGTATGCAAACAAAATAGTCTGGGTTTCATTAGCCAGTTGCGTTGTAAAGAGTTCTTCACAAAATGAGGTTTGGGAAAGCAGAAAGGGAATGGAAGGGCCATTCCCCACCCATATTGGGCAGGAAGACAAAGCAAAGAAAGGGATGATGGCATCAGCCTCCAGATGGCATCTCGGTGTGGGTAATGGAGCCATGGAGAGTCAAGGAGTGGATGTCAGGTACCTGTGCCACATATTCATCTCACTTACTGCCTATTCCTCAGGGGGTAATAAAGCATTCCAATTTTAGTCCTCAGGCACAGGGGTTTATAGCTGCCTCTGGATTTAAGGTGCTAAGAGGCTCCCTTCAGGCCTGCCTTATGCTACTTTACCTTTCCAATTTACAGAGTAGGAAAACAGGGAGATGCTGCCTTTGTCATCCTTAGTTTTCTTGCACTGGTTTGAAACAAAACAAGATATTCCCTCAAAAAATTATTGACCAAGGTGGGGAGAGGATAGGAACAACAAAAAATTACTGTTTGTTTTTTATTTTTATTTTTTTTTATAATAAGCAGCTATCACGTGATGAAGCTAAGGAGCAACAAGAGTTGAAGGCTTTGCTCCGCTGGCGCAGACTTCGAGATGAGGTGCAGAACTCCACAGAAGAGATGCAGGTGTTAAGGTAAAAAAAAAAAAAACAAACCAATAAACCAAAAAAAAACCTTTTTAACTTTTTAATATTTTTTTTCCCTTTCCCTCCTTTCCTTCCCCAAAGGATATCTCCAAGTCATCTGATTAAATCTGCTGTTTCCTTTTGAAATTAAATTGAACTGGGTTACTCATCTTCTTTGTGATGTGATTTTTTTCTTTTTAAAGGCTTACAGTGTGGGGGTTTGGTATAAAATGCCTTTTGACATTTTCCAAGTGCCTCTGTTCAGGAAATAGTTAGAGGCCACTTCCTGACCAATGATCCTTGTTTGAGGTTCTAATAGTCACTTTATGTGGTGGCTAAAGCATGTGAAAGAATAGGTTATGAGGGACTGGCAAGACAGTAATGCTTTGCAACCAAAAGAAAAAAAATCTTTAGAAAAAACATTGATTCAAAAATAAGTTTAGTAATAACAGATGTTAGTTTCAATGGGGCATTTTGTCTTGGATGGCTCCCAGCAGAAACCAGAGTTTAGGCTTCTGCTCACCTCCTGTTTAGTTCTAACCAACAGGATTCCACATTTTCTTTTTCTAGATTGCCCTAGCTTCTTTGATCAGATAAGGATTGCCTCTCCTCTCTTTTCCTTTCTTCTCTGAGTTTTCATTTCCTTCAGTAGAATTAGATGTGGGACAGATAGGCAGTTATCTGAGAGCCTGTGTCTTTGGCTGGAAGTGCTGAGAGGTGGCCGGAGACCTTTCTCACTCTCGCTGTGAGGTGGCTGTAGTTGTCCTGACAGCAAGAACAGCTGACCCAGCTTTCTGGTCCAAGGTTGTGTGGGCTGAACTCTGCAATCAGGATTTGTGCAAAGTGGACAGGACCAGGCATTTTAATTTTAAACTCTTATCTGTCCTCCAGCACGCTCATTGGCAGATTTAGCAAAGGCCCCTTTCTACTCTCCCCAACACACAGAAGCCACTTCTCTACCCTTTTTCAACAAACCTATTGTCACTTCTGTAGCGCTCAGTTTGTTACATTGTACTCTAGAAACAAAAGTATGAGAACCTGATGTCTCATCCTGCTGTGACTTCTGGGATATAATGAAAGGATCAACCCTTGAATTCTGTGGTAGGGTCTGGTGGGTCCATACTTATTTCATGGGAGTTCAGTCAGAATTTGCAGGAAAATCTTAGCCCCTTCTGATTCTTTTCATTCCCATATTTGAGTTTGGGGCAGAACTCTGACTTTTACTAGAACTCTGACCTTGGGCAAAGTCACTTAGACTTTAAGTCTCAGTTGCCTCATATGTAAAATGGGGACAATGATACCTATAGTATCTATCTCACAGGGTTTTTATAACTGTCAAATGAAATAGTGTATGTAAGGTGCTTTACAAAACCTTAAAACTATATTAATGTCAAGTTATTATTGACTATTCATTTTGGAGGTCAGCCCATAAGAACACTTTTTTTAAAAACTGGGAACATAAACCTTTTAATGGCAAACCTAGCTGGACATTTGTTGTCCTAGTGTTCAGGAATCATTTTTGTATGAATTTATGCTAATTATTTTGTTGTTCATGATCCTGTGGACCATAGTTGTCTATGGGGTTTTCTTGGCAAAGATATTCAGTGGTTTACCATTTCCTTCTCCAGTGGATCCAGTGGATCCTTTTATCAGGCAATCAGAGGTTAAGTGACTTGCCCAGGGTCACACAGCTAGGAAGTGTCTGAGGCTGGATTTGAACACAGCTCTTCCTGACTCCAGGCCCAGTGCTCTATCAGCAGCCACCAGCTGCCTCTATGCTAACTATACCATAGGTGTTTTTTGAAAGATCCAATAAATAGCATCATAGAAAGTATATTTGAGGAGCATTATTTTCAGTGGGAAATGGGCCTAAATTCATCATGGATCTTATGGTCTGCCTTGAGTTCAGTACAACTGTCCCAGCTCCTGAGAGGGCCACCTTGGGAAGAATCAGAAAGTGGCCAGAAATGAAAGTCAAAAGAGTATCAGTTAGTGTGTGTGTACATGTCCATGTGTATGTAGCATGGAACCAGAACAACCCTTGCTCAGTGCATTTCAGGTTTAGTGTAGTGTTTTGGGTCATCATAGTTATACACATACAACTTGAGCCCCCGTACAGTGCATCCTTTACTAATAGAGCAGGGACTGTAAATCAGATGGTGAAGCTTAATTGGGACAGAATAGCAAATAACAAGGGAAATCCCTCACCCTGTACATAAAGGGGTGCAGTCTCCTGCAGATGCCCATGGTACAAGGGCAAGGGAACGGCCCCTGGACAAGTCGTGATTTAGAATTTTTCTTGGCTGGAACACCTCTCCATCTGCCAATACCTGGCTGTGCCTCTGCTCCATCTCCATAGCTGCTAAGTCTCTCTGCCTCCAAAGTCACCACTTGTGGTTTTTTTTTTTTTTTAGAACTGTTGCTGCTGTCATTTACTTCTAGGCTGCTTCTGCATGGGGGAGGGGGGCTGAAACCCTTGCCCTGATCTGGCTTTGGTTACGTGCTTTCTTCCTTTAAGGGAATGTTATTGTTCTTTTGTGAGACTGCCAGCCTAAAACATTAGCATAAGACTAATCAACAAGTTTCATCTCTTTTATTAGTAAGCCTATAGTCATTCTCCAGAGCTTGGAAAAGAATCCCTTAGATCATGATCTTATTTTTTTTCCCTGCACACTTTATCTCTCCCTTCTCTCCCCAACTCTCAACTCCTCCAAGTATTCCTGAGGGATCTTTTGATATTTAGATTGGGATAAGGAAATTCCTTTCAACTCCTATCTGGCTCCTAGCCAGGGTCACATAAATATGCCAGGGTTATGCAAATTGCCCTATAACTTGAACCAACCTTAAAGAGGCAGTTAGCTGTGTTATAGGGGTCAACAGACCTTTGCTTTGCATTCCTGCAGTTTTGCCTACCTAGGTTGTGGTCCTCCTTATATACAGATGCATAAATATTCATATATATATGTTTTAAAACCTAGGAAAGAATCCCATTGAGAGATGATATTTTGATTAAGGATACTACTTTTTTCAAGACAAACCAAAGAGTCTATGGGGAAAAGCTAATTAAAATTTTTGGCACATATAGAAATTAGTATTTGTTTTAGGCAAAAGTAAATGCAGACAAGTGTAGAAAACAAACTTCTTTGAAAAGCCCACCCGCTTTTGCTTCCCCTGATTCAATTTAATGTAATTCAGAAGGCATTTATTAAGGACCTACTATTATTAGGCACTGATGGATGCCCCCTTGACCTCCCAGAATCACTCCCTGTCTTTAAGGTAGCTGGATGGCTCAGTGGATAGGGTGCTGGGCCTGGAGTCAGAAAGACCTGAGTTCAAATTTGGCCTCCTGTGTGATCTTGGGCAAGTCACTTAATCTCTCTATGCCTCAGTTTCCTTATATGTAAAATGGGGATAATAACAATACCTATCTCACAGGGTTATTGTGAGGATCAAATTAGATAATAATTATAAAGTGCTTAGGACATTGCATGGTAAGCCCTTTATAAATGTGATGATGATGATGATTGATGATGAAAAAAGCACTTTGTAAATTTTAAAGTGCTCACTTTATAACTGGTAGCTATTATTGTTGTTATTCTTATTCTTATGGAGCTTACATTCTTCTCTTCCATTAAACTTTTGTTACTTGGTTATTTCAGGTGTGTCTGAAATAATAGTAGCAATAGCTTAAACTTAGGGGGCATTTGTAAAGTACAACTACCTTGTGAAGGAGAAAGCTTCTGAAGCGAAGCCCTGATCATTTGCAGTGACTTTCTGGAGGCCACACAGATAATAAATAAATAAAAGTGTGGTGGTTCTGAGGCTAAATCCAGTGCTTTTTCTCCTATCCCATGCTTCTGTCTTCTTAAGTGCCTTGGGTGGCCATACAGGACATAAAATACTTTTGTCCACAAATGAGAACAAACAGGGAAAGCCCTAGGCAAAATTATGAGATCAGTGAAGTTTGTTCTAGTATCTCCAGGTTCCCTCTTTTGGTTTACTTTCCTCATACCCCATAGTATGAGATATTTGGTACCTTCATGCTTTCTAATCCCCTCCCTCTATCAAAACTGGAAAGAATCTGGTAGTGTCATTTGTGTTTTTACTGGAACCTCTTTCCCATGACTGTGTTAACTCTCCCAATTATGTCACTTTTTAAGCCTTTCATCCCCTGTTATAGAATGAAAGACTCGTTAAAGGAATTTTTATGTGGAGACTTCCTTTTTCTCCAGGTTGATAAATAATCTAAAGAATCACTTGACAAAACCTAGGAAAAGCAGAGCGGGACAGGGACCAGGGAATAGGTGGAGTGCTACTTTAGGATTCTCTCTTTTTGAGCAAGGACAGATGGGATTATGGAAGCAGAGGAGCCTTTTCAAGTATTTTCAGCTGTGGGGCCTGAAGTGGGAGAGTCAGGAGAAAAGAAAGTCCAGTTGAAAGGCTAGGTCAAAACCCAGGTCTTTTGTATAATGACAGTTAAGGTTTGGAATATTAGAGGAAGCAGCCAACATTGATACTGTTAATGAGTAGAGGAACAGCAAAGTAAAAAGAGAAAAACTGAAACTCCACGTTGGCTGTTTAAAAGTAACACTAATTGTAATAATTAAAACAAAACTGCCTATTTTTATGTCTGATTGCTATGTAGCATGATTGTGCATATCATTAAATACATGTCAGCTTAAATTTTCTTTTTAGTTTTATTTTAGCCATATAAATGCATGCTCAGTTTTCATAGATCATCTAGCATGACCACCTACTCACAGCTTAAAAACATTAGAGAGAATATTTACTTCTTAATTATTAAAGATGTCTTTTGCCCACTCCTCAATCCTGGTGTTCTCTCTAGCCTTTTCCTCATCCACCCTTGTTGCCAGGACAAAATCAGAGCAAAAATGTCAAGAAATCAAAGTGTGCCTTGTTTGATTTCCTTCCTTGAATACTAAGTCTAATAAGAATTACTTTCTGAATTTCATCCCTTCAGGACCCTCTTCTCCCAGCTTATCCAACAA